CGGTTTTCTTATTTTTGAAGCACAGATTTTTCATTTCGATTTCTTGCTCCAAGGCACGTTAATTATTTTAGTCCCGGGTTCTTATTCTAGAATATTATCCATAGTTATATCTCGGCAACGTCAATTAAATAAATATTATTAGTAGATACATTATGGGAGATTCGATAACAAGTTGCCAGTTCTCACTATAATAGTTAAAAACTAGATAACGTAAAGGCAATTTGCCGAAAATTTCATTCACATTGATCCACTATGAACCGAGAAGTAAGCGAATGAAATTTCCGCCCTAGCCTCGTTCAACATTACTAAAGTCAGTACGATAAACAGCATAGTCTCCATTATCCATTTAATCGTTAAATCGTGAGGGAAATTTATGCCTATGCAGTAAATCGGTTCACAATCCACTACAGATCGCAGGTTAGCGATGGCATCTAGAGTTGATTATGGTCTGAATACTAGGTTAATTGATGTCTAATTGATAATTTAGATAACATTTCAGGCCTATAAGAAAGACCTGCAATAGACAGATTTAGCTCTTGCATAGTGTATGTTTAAGCCAAGTTAAGAATTATAGGTTTAAACGGTTTCTTTCAGAAATATGCAGGCTTGTAAATTAATAACACTATTGCTGGTTTAGTTTAGTTAGTACTGGACCTTTTTGTGATTTCTATTTAATTGGTTTTAAAGATTTGTTTGTTCACCTTTGATTAGACCCCACACGAGAGCTAAAACCTATAATTTTATTGTTTAATCTTAGAGTAACCTATCTGACTCTCTGGAAATATATGGGGATCGCAGTGGCTAAGTGGGTAAGACGCTGGCTTGCTAGCCTGGAGGTTGAACGTCCGATCCCTGCATTGGTCGAGAAAGTTCATCCCGATTTTCCAGCGTGGTTCCCCTTGTCAGTGATGCAGGACGGAGGGCCTGACAAGAACTACTGTCTAGTCGTTCGGATGGGACGAAAAACCGAGGTCCGTGTACACATTGGCGTACACGTAAAAGATCCCTCATAGCACACTGTATGGCGTATGCCCGTCTTCATTAGCCCAGTTTGGAGCAGAACAGTAGAACATTAAACCCCATTTCATTTCATTTCATTTCATTTCTCTGGAAAAACAAAATGATAAGCCAGTAATAAATGAAATTGCGACAATTTTATTCTCACCGTCTGAAAACGGGTCGTCATATTTGCGGCCTATGTTAACAAAGTTTTTTTTATAAACTGCACAATAAACGATCTAGAACAAAATAAAACAATATATTATATCTAATAATTATTGTACCGAATCAATGTAATAACAAATATAAATTTAATATTGTCATTTATATTGAAGCAGAACTGAAAATAGGGGAGGATCTTTAATTAATAAGTATAATAGGACAGAGCCTAGAGGTAAAAAAATGCGCACGTTTTCTTACAATCCGTCCACAAAAAACCTAAAATGGCAAAGTGGACTAAAAAGTGTAATTTGTTGTTACTCATTTCCTTACAGCAGTTTGCAACATTATTATTTACGTTTTATTTATTTGCGCAATATTGACATTGTGGATATGTGGAACTATCATTCCCGGAAAACAGATATAAAAAAGGAATGAAACCCCACGCGAGCTCAGCATATTAAAATTAAGTTTATTAAATTTAGCTTTTAGAAGTTTGAGATGTACAAATATTGGCTACCTTTGCGTTTTCATGTAATAATGGATATGCTGATTGTTGTTTTTGAGAATGTACAACATTTCCTATAATATGATGTTAAAAGAGGTCGAGGGTGCACCCCACACCCCGCCTATATCTCCGCCTGGGCCTTATGCTCTGAGCCGCCGTGGCTCCCTGAGAACAAAGAAATGGAGAAGGAATAGTTACATGAATATTGAGAGAGTAATCAGAGATTCGGTTTCATCCGTATGTGCCGGATACGTTCTGAGCGGATATGCAAAAGTCCGAACGCGAATATGCCCAACCGGACATCAAGAAAAAAGCTGGATTAGGTATGTAAGTAAGCCATCAGCCGAATTGATTGACTGGTAGATGTCCAAGAAGTTCCAGGATGAAGAAGATCTACAGCTGTGACATACAATTACTGTTATTTTTTTACTGGGTGACATTTCGACTTGATTCTGTAGTCTTTATCGTCAAACAAGCTAAAACCTTGTTTCAAGGATGAACATCCATACCTGATGGTGATGCATGTACTTGCCGACAGATAATATGATACATTTGTTATTTTATTGAATTGAATCTCAGATTATTCTTAGAATAAAAAAAATAAAATAAATATAGAGCATACATCCACAAAGGTGTATATTTACAAGATATCAAAATCTGAGGATGAGCATAGGCGTACGAGCTGGGGTGGCTGGGCACCAAATGCTGGGAAAATTTGGGCACACAATTGTACTTTGTAAAAGTTGTATAAAATAATATTGCGTTCTTGAATGTGTTCAATTTAACAGCGAATTTATTATTATTATGTAACATACAAAGAACCTAACTACATTTTTTGGGCACCAACCACCACCGCCCCCCCCCACTCGACACAAACTAGGCCATTCCAGGACTAACACATGGTTCAGTTTTATTTCAATAATACGCTTGCACGTAGGGGTCTTTAGCAGTGGGAGGAAACTGGAGAAAACCTATGAGGTTGGACAAGCGACCCTACTCCTTGTCATGTAGAACCAGGGAACTGAAACCACGCCAGTTGACTCAAAGACAAACCTTATGATACAACCCGCACGTGCTTACCGTTAGGCCAATCCCCCCCCCCCCCGTAATTAGAAATTGATTGGCTACTTGTTCTTCTATGGGCTAACATTTATTATACAAAAAAGTACTGTATGAGCAGATGATAACGTGTTTGGCTTACCAGGAATCAACTCTTGTCTTATAAACGTATACACTGTATATCAAGTCAATCAGATTACAACTTTAGACTCTAGAGCGTCCACAAATATAGGACAACTTTTCCATGTTGGAGTATTACAGGGGCCGCGGAACAGGGGGCTGCTATTTCCTCCCATTCTACATTTATAATAATTATAACTGGCATTATTCTCGTCATGGATAACACGAGTGGTGAGTCATGGTCAGCTTTTCTTTCCTGATAGCAGGAGGGTTTTGGGTTACTTTAAAATTCAAAAAATCATATCATAGTTTCAAAACTTTCTTTGGACCCTTAAGCGGGCCCCAAACCCCACGCCGGAAGCTTCCGGCGCCTGCCGCAATATGCTCTAACGTCACTATGCGACGCTTCGTTTTCGGGACCTCGTCCCTCAATTATTATTGTCAGACCCCCCACTTCGGATATCGCTCCGCGGCCTCTGTATTAAATGCGAAATGAAATGATGGGGTTTAACTTTCTACTGTTTTGCTCCGAGCTGCTTGGACAGCGGCACTACGGCCTACTCTTATATCGAATTCCAACTGTCAAGGGATCTTTAACCTGCATGCAAATGTGTACACAGGACCTCGATTTTTCGTCCCATCCGAACTACTAGACAGCTGTGCTTGTCAGGCCCTCTGTCCTGCATCACTGACAAGGGAGAACCACACCGGAAAATCTGAATGAACTTTCTCGGTCAATGCAGGGATCGAACACCGACCTCCAGGCTAGCGAGCAAGCATCTTACCTATTTAGCCACCGTGATTAAATGTGTGAACACAGTGAAGGCATAGTGGGATAAAGGCTTCAGGAGATGGAGGCCCAGGGGCCTCTGCCAGGTAAAGGACCTCTAATTATTGAGTTAAAAAGTTATTTCATTTGTGAATGTTGAATCAAAGTAAACTTATTGCGGCAAATTAAAGAACTGTACTGTATATCCATGGGCAGACAGTGGGTAAAAACATTCTAAATTCACAAAAAAAACTTGTCTTTCTGGGGGGCCTTAAAGTATCTGTAGAGTAAATGAATACACCATCCTAATTGTGTTCTGAAATAAAATGGGGTTTGAAATGAAATGAAAAATGAAATGAAACGGGGTTTAACGTCCTACTGTTTTGCTCCGAACTGGGCTAATGAAGACGGGCATACGCCATACAGTGTACTATGAGGGAAATTTTGCCCGGACAGCGGCACTACGGCCTACTCTTATATCGAATTCCAACTGTCAAGGGATCTTTTACGTGCACGCCAATGTGTACACGGGGCCTCGGTTTTTCGTCACATCCGAACGACTAGACAGTTGTCCTTGTCAGCCCCTCTGTCCTGCATCACTGACAAGGGAGAACCACGCCGGAAAATCTGGATGAACTTTCTCGGCCAATGCAGGGATCGAACACCGACCTCCAGGCTAGCGAGCAAGCATCTTACCTATTTAGCCACCGTGATTAAATGTGTGAACACAGTGAAGGCATGGTGGGATAAAGGCTTCGGGAGATGGAGGCCCAGGGGCCTCTGCCAGGTAGAGGACCTCTAATTATTGAGTTAAAAAGTTATTTCATTTGTGAATGTTTAATCAAAGTAAACTTATTGCGGCAAATTAAAGAACTGTACTGTATATCCATGGGCAGACAGTAGGTAAATTCACAAAAAAAACTTGTGTTTCTGGGGGGCCTTAAAGTATCTGTAGAGTAAATGAATACACCATCCTAATTGTGTTCTGAAATAAAATGGGGTTTAACATCCTAGTGATCTGCTCCATGACCTACTGTTCTGCTCCAACTGGGCTAATGAGAGAGAGAGAGAAATGGGGTCTAAAACATGAAACAAACTAGGTCATTTTGGGACTAACATATGGTTCAATTTTATTTCAATAATTTGCTTGCACGTAGGGGTCTTTAGTAGTGGGAGGAAATCGGAGGATCCGGAGAAAACCCATGAAGTTGGACAATTGACCCTTCTCCTTGTAACCTATAACCGTGGAATTGAAACCACGCTAGTTGACTGAATGGCAGACCTTATGATACAGTGCGCAGGTGCTAACCATTCGGCATCCAACCCCCCCAACTGGGCTAATGAAGGGGGGGTTTGAGGAGGTGAATAATAACTCAAACCATAAGGTAATTAATTGTATTTCATGATTTAATGGTGAAATTAATTCAAGATACATTATGAAAGATTAAATAAAGAGCTGGCAGTTCTCACTATAATAGTTAAAAACTAAATGATGTAAAGGGAATATGCAGAAAATTTTAGTTAAATTGCTTCACGAGAAAACCCTACTTTAAAATCTTTGTAGTTTTTGAACTATAAAAAACGAATCAAAATTGGATCTGTGTTTTAATCAGATTGATTCATCTTATATGGTAACGATACAAAATCATACATACAACAATAAACAGCTGTAATGGGCCTTGTTGATGAACACATTAACCATACTATTTGATGAATACTGACTGGGTGGATCTAAAGACCTATATTCATGAAAACTTAAGCATAAATTTTAGCTACCGGCCAATTAAAACACAGCATTAGGACCTACATTAGTTTAAGTTTTCTTGAATAGTCTACATCCTCGGGACAAAAACATGAGCCACAACTTTCGTGCTGGACATGCATTGAAAATATCAATACATATAGGTTGCCAAGCAACAAAACATACGCCCACAACAGCTAAGTCGTCTTGGCAATCAACAAGGGTTGTCATATATTTTTTCTTTTGTAAGTAATGGTAACATTTACAACATACTCAAATCTGATTAATAACCTCTACAGCATCCGAGATAATTCAAAGGGATCAAGGGCCATAATTCTAGCAGTAATTATCAGAAATCGTTGAAAATCATTAAGGCGTCTTCATCGCACGACTGTAACACTGTGTATAAATTTAAAGACAACTGGATGTTAACTTTAGCGTTAAGAGCATCCACAATTTTTTTTAGAGTGATCAAGGGCCATAACTCAGGCAGTAATTGTCAGAAGTCGTTGAAAATCAATAGGCTTCTTCGTCTTATGATCTTAAACATTGTGTATAAATTTACAATTGGATATTAACTTTAGCCCGCAAAACATTATGGACACAGGATGGACAGGGGCGACAACAATATACGACCGCATTTCAATATGGGTGCATAAAAACATCAAAATCTGTACCAGACAGAATTACAGATGACTTGTGCCTAATTTTCAGTTACCGTCGCTGATCGTCAATGGTATTTTTCAGACAATATGAATTTTTTTCACAACATAATCCCCGTTAAATGTACTTATCCTGATATCAAAATTAAGAAAACAAAATCAAAACATTTCAGCATCCTGTCCGAATATTGACAACTTTTCAATTCATCACAATTTTGTAAATAATGAATTGAATTGGACTATTTTTCAACTTTCATAATATTGTAGTTTGCAAGGGATTCTGAATTCCCCAAATGACTATCAGAGACATTGCGAAGATCTGGCTCGGACTTTAACAATTTCATCAGAGATATTGTGAAGCTCTGGCTCGGACTTTAACAATTTCATCAGAGACATTGCGAAGATCTGGCTCCGACTTTAACAATTTTATTAGAAATATTGTGAAGATCTGGCTTGCACTTTAACAATTTCATCAGAGACATTGCGAAGTCCTGGCTCAGACTTTATAACAATTTCATTAGAAAAAGAATCTAAATAAAAGGTATATATAAAACAACTTAACATGTAATAAATATAACATATTTATCAAAATATTTTTCACTGGACAAAAGTCAGTAAAATACTACTGTAAAGCTACAATACATCAACAGTCCAATAAACATTTGTCTCAGAATATGTCAAATTTTAACAAAAGAAAAACTTCGGTCCCCATTTTAATCTATTATAAATAAGGGAATATGGTTGTTGTTAGAAGTCTTAATTAATGTTATGTTTGGATTGTTAAATTGTTTTACTCATGGATGGAGGTTGTTATTCATTTTTTTTTATCATTGCTTGATTAAGATACCTGTAAGAGTATTGAAACGTTGTATGTAACAAACCAAGAAGTAGTAAATCTATAAAGTTGTATTATTATGAACTGACGGTTTATAATCCTTAAATATATTAATATTTTTCATTTTGTTTCGTTTAAAATTCACACAAAACTATACGACGACGCTAACATTTGAGCATAGATTGGTGCTTTGTCCAAGGCCACTGTGAGTATAATAGGACAGAATGGTTAAAATCGTAAATATCTACCAAACCAAACCTGTAACAATTCTCCTCATACATGGACTGGGATCTGAACTTTAAACGATTGCTTACAACTGACTTCACTTGACAAAAGCGGAGTGATTTGTTTCCCTTGTTTTAAAGATTTGTGTAACACATTCCTTATTGATATATAAATTGATATAAGGCCACTGTAATATATTTCTACACAGGAAGGAGACAAATTAGTACAATCACATAATTATTTGTTCATTAGATTATGGTAAGATGAAAATAATATGATCTAATTATGTCGGATGTTGCTTAGATGTACTCTGTTTTTCTTTTCCTTATTAGGAATTTTTCTGTGGGATCTTAATGGTGACCTGAAATATACAAAAAAACATTGTAAATGACATGTAACAGAAATGAAATGAAATGAAATGGGGTTTAACGTCCTACTGTTCTGCTCCTAACCTGGGCTAATGAAGACGGGCATACGCCATACAGTGTGCTATGAGGGAAATTTTGCCCGGACAGCGGCACTACGGCCTACTCTTATATCGAATTCCAACTGCCAAGGGATCTTTTACGTGCACGCCAATGTGTACACGGGACCTCGGTTTTTCGTACCATCCGAACGACTAGACAGCTTTCCTTGTCAGCCCCTCCGTCCTGCTTCACTGACAAGGGAGAACCACGCCGGAAAATCTGGATGAACTTTCTCGGCCAATGCAGGGATCGAACACCCGACCTCCAGGCTAGCGAGCTAGCGTCTTACCCACTTAGCCACGTGATCCCCATGACATGTAACATTCTAAATTGGAGAGCGAGGGGGAAGGGGGCATATCGATAAAGAGGGAGAAAGAGTCGGGGAGAGAGAGAGAGACGGGCAACGGAGGGGAGAGAGAGAGAGAGGAGGAATAGAGGGAAGAACATAGGTTGCCAGACAATGAAACATACACCCACAGCAGCAAAATTGTTGACAAGGGTTTTCGCATATTTATTCTTTTGTAGATAATTGGGGGCATTTACAAGACAATTTCATACAGATGAGATTGTAATTTTCGTCATTTGAGGGTTCACATGGTTCTACAAACTGAAACAAGGGTTTTAACTCTGCAAGTAATTTACAGAAATTGTTGAAATTTGACAGGCTTTTTTGTTTTACTAATTTAAATAATGCAAATAAATATCATACAGATCAGATGATAACTTTTGTCATTCGAACGTTTACAAGATTCTCAAAATAAAACAAGGACCATAACTCTAGAAGTAATTGACGGAAATTGCTGAAATTCAATAGACATCCGTTTCACAAATTTAAATGATGCATATAAATTTCATACACATCGGATGATAACTTTCGTAAATTGAGCATTAACATGGTTCAACAAAGTGAAACATGGGCCATTTCACTAATCTAAATGATGCATATAAATTTCATACAGATAAGATGATAACTTTTGGTGTTAAATAATTCACAAGGTTCAACAAAGTGAAACAAGGGCCATAACTCTAAAAGTAATTAACAGAAACTTCACTAATTTAATAATGCATATAAATTTCATAAAGATCGGAAGATAAGTGAAATAAGGGCCATAACTCTAGATGTAATTAATGGAAATTGCTGGAATTCAATAGGATTCTTCTTTTTTTCTAATTTAAATGACACATAAATTTCATACAGATCTGCAGATAACTTTTGATGTTAGAACGTTCACAAGGTGCAACAAAGTGAAACAAGGGCCATAATTCTAGAAGTAATTGATGGAATTTATTGAAATAAAATAGGCTTTTTCATTTCACTAATGTAAACAACATACATACATTTTAAAACAAACGGATGATAACTTTTAGCAATAGGAGCATTCACAAGAAATTGTGGACGACGGACGGACCGACAGATGGAGGAACGGGGTTGACGCCAATATACATTGGAAATGTGGACATATAAAAAGGAGAGAGAGGGAGGGATAGAGGGAAGAGCAGGAGGGAGAAGGGGGTGGAATCAAACTGAGTCAGTTCTACAGTTTGATCCATTTGAAATACAAGAGAGTATCTTTCAAAATATCATCCAATGATGTAAATGATGAAATTGTTATCCAGTATAGTGTCCTGCGGTTAGACAATGTAGCTAACAGATTCAACCCAAACGGTTCAAAGAAAGTGTTGAATAATTTAAGATATTTATTGCAACAAAATGTTAACCCAAGACAAATATCATGCAAAAACAATCAAATAATTTCCTGTAGTGCAAGTTGCCCAATCTGATTAAAACACAGATCCTATTTTGTTTCGTTTTTTATAGTTCAAAATTTTGTTTTGTTTGTCTTTACTACACTAGGATCTGGAAGAGTTGTTATATAACAGGTGTTCTAGTTGATGTGAGGAATTAGTCAATGAAACAGACTGTTATGGCGAGTTCCTGGCATGCTCTGCACGGAACTGTAGGTAAACCACTAGAAACGTCAATGCTGATTGATTAATCAATGTCTGACGTCATAGGTTCAAAACTCGGTCGTATGACCCTCTGACGCAACCTTCCACTACAACTAGTCAGATTTTCATGTTGTGGAGGCCATCGAAAATATAAAAAAACGAAACGAAACATAGATCTGTATTTCAATCAGATTGCAAGTTGGTGTGCACGTTGAAGAACCCTTGACAGATGGGGAAAATTTGTCCTCATAACACACTGTATGGCGTATCCCCTTCTTCATAAGTCCAGTCGAAGAAGAACAGTACGTAGGATGTTACACTCCCTCTCATTTTGTACAATAATATTTCTGTGAATGTTAACAGTTGACAAATAATGTGTTGCTGTAAATGAAAGTAGAAAATGTAAAACTGACCGTTTTGACCTCTGTATAGCTATCTAAACCATACTCTCCCAATTCACGACCATTACCAGACATCTTGTAACCTCCAAATGGTGCTGCTGCGTCGAAAACATCAAAGCAGTTTACCCTGTAATCATTGAGCAATTAATAATTGATGTAACCTTTGAAACATCAAAGCATGATCAAAACAGCTTGTCATACTCCACATTATAGTGCAACTAGTCTTCTGTTCAAAGGGAATATATGCTAGTCCTTGGTTTGAAGGGAATATATACTAGTCCTCTGTTTGAAGGGAATACATGTATATACTAGTCCTCTGTTTGAAGGGAATATATACTAGTCCTCGATTTGAAGGGAATATATAATAGTCCTATGTTTGAAGGGGATATATACTAGTCCTCTGTTTGAAGGGAATATATACTAGTCCTTTGTTTGAAGGGAATATATACTAGTCCTCGATTTGAAGGGAATATATAATAGTCCTATGTTTGAAGGGGATATATACTAGTCCTCTGTTTGAAGGGAATATATACTAGTCCTTTGTTTGAAGGGGAGATATACTAGTCCTCTGTTTGAATGTGATATATACTAGTCCTCTGTTTGAAGGGTATATATACTAGTCCTCTGTTTGAAGGGAATATATATGATTGTATAATATAATTTAAACATACATTATGCAAAAGCTAAATATGCCTATTGCAGGTCTTTCTTTAGGCCTGAAATGTTTTCTAAATTATTAATTAATTAGATAGTAATTAACTGATCCAGGCCATAATCAACTCTCGATGGCATCGGATTTATCCGATATTAAATAGATTAGGCAATTTGCTGAAAATTTCAGTCAAATTGATCCACTATGAACCGAGAATTAAGCGATTGAAATTTCAGCCTAGCCTCGATCATCATTACTTAAGTCTGTATTATAAAAAACATAGTCTCGATCATCCATATCTTGATTAAATTATGAATGGAAGTCGAGCAGCAAATGGGATCATTATCCAGTAAATATTGCAGGCTAGCGATGCCATTGAGAGTTGATTATGGTCTGGATAAGTTCATTAATGTCTAATTATAATTTAGATAACATTTCAGGCCTAAAGAAAGACCTGCAAATAAGCAGATTTACCTCTTGCATAATATATGTTTAAGTCATGAATTTACACAATTTTCAATCACTATTTATGACAAATATCTTGGATCTAGAAACATAAGAATTTGTACATAGTTTCTTATTGATGCATTTGATACATTAAAACAACAAAAGTTTTATAAAGGGCTATATTTTGGTTAAAATAAGGCGAACAATTTTGAGTAAACTCTTAATAGTAAGTGCAGGAGGACCGCACTACACGCAAAACAAAAATCTACAAGATAAACCTGCGGGCAAGATAGAAAATAGACATTGTAATATTTGCACCAAATAAACAAATCAAGTGAAAAGATCCGGGGGCCAGCCGTAAGCATCCACTGCGCTGTACAGTCCCGGGCCTATAGAGACACAGACTTCACTCAGATTTGAAAACAATCAGGAATACAAAAGAGATGTAACAGAAATAATGCGACCAATCTTGAGAGTCAGAGAATCATTTGTGAAATTGGGTCTTCTATAAAAAGAAAAAAAAAACCAATTGTATAATTACCATACTGTTCCTGCTCTCAAGCTGTTCGATAAATAAAGGGCTCTTTCTACATCCTTGGTAAAAACAGCTGCTGCCAGACCATATATGGTATTGTGGGATCTGTTTATAACCTCATCTAAACTTGAAAATTTGGAAATACTCATAACTGGTCCAAAAATCTGAAATGGAATCCAATGAAAATGTATTACACAAGATTCATCAGAATATGAAACAGGGTCTAATGTCCTACTTTTCTGCACCAACTGGGCTAATGAAGACTAACATTTGCCATGCAGTGAGCTAGGAGTCTATCTGGTTAAAATATAGATCTATATTTCACTTTGTTCTTTTATACTTTTGCTCCTATACTGGGCTAATGAAGATGGGCATATGCCATACAGTGTGCTATGAGGGAAATTTTGCCCGGGCAGCGGCACTATCGCCTACTCTTATATCAAATTCCAACTGCCAAGGGATGTTTTACATGCATTCCAATGTTTACATGGGACCTCGGTTTTCGTCTCATCCGAAGGACTAGACAGCTGTCCTTGTCAGGCCCTCCGTCCTGCATCACTGACAAGGGGAAACCACGTTTGAAAATCAGGATGCAGGGATCGAACACCCGACTTCCAGGCTAGCGAGCCAGCGCCTTACCCACCTAGCCACCGTGGCTCCCTACTTTTGATGGCCTACACTACATGAAGATCTGACCAGTTGTACTGGGAGGTCGTGTCAGGAGTAATATGGCTTTTAACCCTATGACATCAGACATTGATTAATCATTCAGCGTTGATGTTTCTAGAGGTTTACCCACAGTTCTGTGCACCACATGCCAAGAACTCATCATAACAGACCGTTTTATTGGCTAATTCCTCACATAAATCAGAACGTCGGTTATAAAACAACTCTTGCAGATCCTAGTGTAGTACACTAGGCAAACCTCGACAGATTCCGGTATCCTACATCTAGCCTCGGCTGTATGACAGTAAGTGATATGTACCTACGCCTATACATTTGCGATGCGGCACCGGTTTACTTATAAGGGAAACTTGCATGCGTTTAGAAAGAAGTTCTCATAATTGCGTCGTTTGAAGAATGTGTAGAATTTTCAGTGCAAATTTGTCCTTGTCTAAAGAAAATCGGATAAACTTGAAAGAAAAACAGCTTCAAACTTTGAAAATTTTGTAAGATAAAACATTCTTCAAACACGTCGTCATCAATCACGTCATTGGTCGTCATGGACAACGCCATTGTAATCCCGGAACTTGAAAGTAGTTCTAATGGCGGACTTTGTTATACAGCCGAGATTAGATGTAGGGTGCTGGAATCTGTTGAGGTTTGCCGATTGAGTGTAGTAAAGACAAACAAAATGAAATTTTGAACTATAAAAAATGAAACGAAATAGGATCTGTGTTTTAACCAGATTGGCTATAAGAGATAGTGGTTTCTCCATCTGCTCTACATTGAAGACAGCCCGTTCTGCACCAAGGACATGGGAAAAAAAACAGAATGGAAAATCTTGCTGAATTTTCTCAGCCACCACCAGGATCAAAATGAAATGGGGTTTAACGTCCTACTCCGACTGGGCTAATGAAGATGGACATATGCCATACAGTGTGCTATGAGAGAAATTTTGCCTGGGCAGTGGCACTATGACCTACTCTTATATTGAATTCCAACTGCCAAAGGATCTTTTACGTGCATACCAATGTATACATTGGACCTCCATTTTTGATCCCTTCCAAACAACTAGACAGCTGTCCTAGTCAGGCCCTCTGTCCTGCACCACTAACAAGGGGAAACCACGTCGGAAAATCAAGATGAACTTTCTCGGCCAAGCTAGCGAGCCAACATCTTACCCACTGCAACTCCGGAATATAATGTGTGTATAACACACGATACAAATATATGGAAGACAAGTTACTTAGAAGTTTATTTCTGGCCAGGTTGCTTGATAAAAGAAGAGAGAATCCTTGTTGAAATGCCACCAGAAATAAATCTTCTAAGTAACTTGTATTCCATATAATTATGTCATGTGTTATCCTATAGTTACACGCCTGTATTCTTGTATAATGCATGTCTGAGTAACTTGTATTCCATATAATTGTGTTATCCTATAATTACACTCCTGTATTCTTGTATAATGCATGTCTGAGTAACTTGTATTCCATATAATTATGTCATTTGTTATTCTATAGTTACACACCTGTATTCTTGTATAACGTCTTCCTTAGCCCAGTTCGGAGCAGAACAGTAGGATGTTAAACCCCATTTCATTTCATTTCTGTATAATGCATGTCTGAATAACTTGTACTTCATATAATTATGTCATGCATTATTCTCATTCAGTTACTAAATGCTGCTTAATCATCAATAATATCTCTATGTTACTTGGGAGTTTATAAAAATATCTCTAGAATTTCCTACCTCTTCTTGTGAAATAACCATATTGTCCTTGACGTCGGAGAATACTGTTGGTTCAATGAAGTAGCCTCGATCACCCACTCTCTTTCCTCCAGTCGTCATTTTAGCTCCTTCTTTTTTACCAATGTCGATATAATTTAAAACTTTATCAAATTGTTCTTTATCGACCTAAAATAAACAAAGCAATGTTACAATATTTCAATATTTTTGTGAGAGGACACAAAAAAACCCAATATTTTTATTGGTGGGGTGAGTGTGGGGAGGGTCCCACAATCTGACACCGAGAAATGTTTGACTACAGGGAATATGCTCGATACTGGTTAAGGATTATTGATTTTAGCGTTACAACAATCTGATTTTTACCATACCCTAAACCCATGACGCAAAGCACATCAATGTATCCCCTTCATAGAGCCCCTGCTTTTACATTCCCTCAACACCACCAAGTTATTCCAGGATATGTCAAGTTAAATCTGGAATAAAGACAAATCTGTGCCAGATACAGATACCAGAGAGGTTGTTTCTGCCAAAACCGTAATTTGTGCCGAACAATATCTGTGACAGCTGCCTTATTTCCAGGTATGTACTAACCTGTGGTCCCTCATCTACGTCTGCAAAAAATAGAGGATGGTTTCTGACAACACCATGAATTTGTTCTGTGACTGGTGAATTATTTTCAGGCATGTACTAACCTGAGGTCCCTGTTCTACGTTTGTAAAAGGATCACCTACGACCCTTTTTTTGGCCCTTTCTGTACTCTTTTCTACAAATTCATCATATATTTTATCTTCTACATATATTCTGGTACCAGCACAACAACACTGTCCTTGATTGAAAAACAGACCAAAATGAGCCTGTTCTACTGCATGATCCACTAGAAAATACAAGAAAATATCTCTTACAATATGAGAGAGAGAGAGAGAGAAGAAGAGAGAGAGAGAGAAAAACTAGGTGATTTTGGGACTAACATATGGTTCAATTTGATTTCAATAATTTGTTTGTGTGCAGGGGTCTTTAGCAGTGGGAGGAAACCAGAGAAAACTCACAAGGTTGCGCAATTGTCACGTACATGCAGGGAATCAAAACCATGCCACTTGTGACTAAATGACAGACATTATGATCAAACGTGCCTGCGCTAACCATTAGTCCATAATTATGTTGACAGGATTTTTTACGCATATGTTACTCTCAAATAAAATATTACATTGACAAGACTTGAAGCTCATTCCAATCCAGCTTAAAGTTGCAATTTCATATTTTTAAGTTATATTTTTAAAAGGTATTAAAATAAAGCCTTAAAATAGATGGTTTCTATAAACAGTCCTACCTTGTTAAAGAATAATCCTATTAATCCTATAATTCACTATTGCCAGTTGAGAAATTGGCAAAAATATCATTTTAACTTCAAATTCAAACGTTAGAAGATAGCTATTCCAGGTGGGGGGGGGGGTAGAAAAACAAGGGAGCAAGGGAGGTAATTGTGTTATTATTTCCGGGGTCAAGGATTTATAAGTAGGAGAATGATACCTATGATCGTATAATAGTGAATTGACAACCTATTGAGCAAAAGACAGAAATAATTATCTTTTGACTTTCCTCGAAAATATGAAATTCTCTCTTTAATACTTACAATCTGCGTCAGCTAAAATGATATTTGGACTTTTTCCACCAAGTTCTAATGTTACTCGTTTTAGGTTGGTTCTTGCAGCATCTTGAGCTATAAGTTGTCCAATCTGGAAATAAATTCAGACAAGACATTAGAATCTCTTCACCCCTCAAATTAGTTGTATTAAACAAATAGGGTAGAGGCTCGGTGGCCATATTGAACAAAAAGGGTTGAGGCATGGTGGTCATATTGAACAAATAGGGGAGAGGCTTGTTGGCCATATTAAACAAAAAGGGTTAAGGCATGGTGGTCATATTGAACAAATACGGCAGACGTCCAGTGGGCCTACTCTTATATCGAATTCCAACTGCCAAGGGATCTTTTACGTGCAAGCCAATGTGTACACAGGACCTCAGTTTTTTGTCCCATCCGAACGACTAGACAGCTGTCCTTGTCAGGCCCTCCATCCTGCATCACTGACAAGGGAAACCATGCCGGAAAATCGGGATGAACTTTCTAGGCCAATGCAGGGATCGAACACCTGACCTCCAGGCTAGCGAGCCAGCGTCTTACCCACTTAGCCACGTGATCCCCCTGGCCATATTGAACAAATAGGATTGAGGCATGATGGCCATATATAACAGAGGTACGGTATGTGGCCATATTGCACAAACAGGGTAGGCGCACGGTGGCCATATTGCATAAACAGGGCGGGAGCACGGTGGCCATATTGCACAAACAGGGCTGGCGCATGGTGGCCATGTTGCACAAACAGGGCAGAGGCATGATCTCGGTGTTGGCAAAGAAAGTCCCTCAGTATTTGTCAGTCTGGTTTCATGAAAGAGGGCCTGGGAATAAAACGTGTTTATTTGCTTTGTGGGATGGGATGATTGTTCAAATCTTTTAGTCGATGGATAAAGATAATGTTGACATATAACGGATTGTATGTTCAATTGTTGACCAGGGTTCCCGCGGCTTCGTCAAACATTTTTTCAAGGATATTCAAGGATAAATATACGTCAAATTCAAGGATTTTCAAGGACATTTTTTAGCCTAAAGTTACAATTTTTCATCTTAAAAATAACCAAACCATTACCAACTATCGTTATAATCTCATATTTAAAAGGAATTGAAGACATCTGAAACAAAATTAAGGATCTCAACTGAAATTCAAGGATGTTTTCCTATTTCCGCGAAATTCAAGGATATTCAAGACCTTGAAAATGAAATTTTCAATTTAAGGATATTCAAGGATTTTCAAGGACCGCAGGAGCCCTGGTTGACATTAGCTATGAAAATAAATTTAAATGCTTTTAATCTTTTGCCAGGAAGATTTTATGGTCGTGAGTGTGTCCCAAGATTTATTGATACAACCCATTAATCGCAGGCCTATTCAGCTTATTGAATAATAGGCCCACTGAGATATTAACGACCAATTAACCGGTTCAAAAATTGTTGTACCATTTTATCCTTACTTTATATTGAACTAAATCGGGGATATCATACAGTTTAAACAAACATTATGCAAGAGCCAAATCTGCCTATTTTAGGTCTTTCTTTAGGCCCGAAATGTTATATAACCTATTAATTAGACATTTATTAACAAAACAAGACCATAATCAACTCTCGATTGCATCGGATACTCAAGATTTTAACTAGATTAGAATGGTTCGCCATTTAAAAATTAATTTAAAAATGGGAAAGCAAGGCTAAGTCTTGAATATACCAGTGCCCTGTTTACCACAATGCACACATCTTGTTAAAACTACAAACAGTGATAACGTGGCTCAGAATGAAGTAATTTGAATGAAATTTTCAATATTTTCAATTAAAATTATCTATTTTTGGGCTATTATAGCAAGAATGGTCAGCTTTTTATCTAAATCTTACATAATGTATCTTTAATTCAATTTCAAATTATTCTTAAATAATGGGTGGGTGTTGTTTATCTCTCCATAACAGGAGTCTTTAAATGTTTTATTTGTACGATTTAGTAAGTTTGTAAATGGCCATAAGATATAATGTTTTAACTCCATGCAAAAACAAGTCACGGTGTCTAAATGAGAGAGAGAGAAATGGGGTTTAACGTCCACTCGACACAAACTAGGTCATTTCGGGACTAACATATGGTTTAATATTATTTCAGTAATTTGCTTGTGCGTTGGGGTCTTTAGCAGTGGGAGGAAACCGGAGGACCCGGAGAAAACCCACGAGGCTAGACAGGCGACCCTACTCGTCGTCACGTACAACCGGGGATTTGAAACCACGCCAGTTGACTCAATGCCATCCAACCCCCCCCCCCCAGGGTGGCTAAGTGAGTAAGACGCTGGCTCGCTAGCCTGTTGGACGTGGGTTCGATCCCAGTGTTGGATAAGAAACCTCCTCAGGATTTTGCGGCGTTGGGTCCCCATGTCAGAGATGCAGGACAGGGCCTGACAAGGACAGCTGTTAAGTCGTTTACACACTGGCATGCATGTAAAAGATCCCTTGACAGTTGAAATTCAATATAAAAGTCTGCCGCTGTCCAGGCAGGCTGTATGGCATATGCCGGTCTTCATTAGCCCAGTCGAAGCAGAACAATAGAATGTCAAATCTCAATTCATTTCATTTCCATATAAATTCTAGATGTGCTTGACTTATTTTAAATTACTAACAAATATTGCTACTTTAAGGAATGTGACAACTGTGCATAGTGTATGCATATAATTGTTGCTATGGAGATTGTGAGCTAGTTTAATACAGTAGCCCACTAACTCCTAGTATTTGTAGTTTTTATTATTATTATTCATGTCAAGGACTTTATTCAGGTGTGACTGCATCATCTTGTGTATAATAGTGAGTGAGAGAGAGAAAGAGAGAGAGAGAGAGGGTTTAACACCAGAAAAACTAGGTCATTTCGGAACTAACATATGGTTCAATTTTATTTCAATAATTTGTTTGCGCGTAGGGGTCTTTAGCAGTGGGATGAAACTGGAGAAGCCGGAGAAAACTCACGAGGTTGGACAGACGACTGTACTCCTTCAAAGGAAATGGAGTTCATCATCTTACTTTCCAGCACCGATATAGACGGTCATATGCCATTCGATGATTCCATCTAAATTTTATCGCCTTACAACTGTTAACATATACACTGGCCATTGTTTTTGTTTATACCATCCAAATGATCTCTATCCTGATTTGTTTAAAATTCGAATAGATTGACTCGTAAGTCCTGTCCAATATTGTAAAATGAAAGCCAGTGAATCCAGACCCCTCACCCCTCAGGCTTATATGATATAAGGCGGGGTCGATATATTTTTTTTCTCCATTTGAAAGTTCTGATCTCTAAAACAAATTGGGTGTTAATGCTTTTCCTTCTTAAGTACACCATTCTGCACTATTGACACAGAGAAACCACAGTGACAACAGCCTACTCTTATATCGAATTTCAACTGTCAAGGAATCTTTTACGTGCACACCAATGTGTACACAGGACATTGTTTTTTTCGTCCCATTCAAACAACTAGACAGCTGTCCTTATCATGCCCTCAGTACTGGGTAGAATGATTTACCTAAGTCTATAATCGATTCGTTAAATATTCAGGCACCACTGACAGTGAAAACCATGTCGATCATTTGCTGTCTGGAATCTGGGTAGTTAAAGTAGCTAAGTCTCTAACTCAATATCATCCAAAATCTTCAACATTGAAAACACGATTTATTTGTCAAATTAAATCAACATTCATGTTGTTATCTTACCGGAAAAAGATGGGCGTTTGATATCCAATATTTAAGACAAAATAAACATTTCACCATTGGTACACGAATCGTGTACCATAATGCGCTTCAGCCCCAGTTGTATCAAGAGACTCGAGAGACGAGGCTAGACACATTGCACCAAATCAAACGGCATATGTAGACTGGAATAACCAGACGCTAGAAATTTGCACTCGCTTGAGACTGCTGGCTTATTTCGCCGAACATAACTGATTTGAAATTGGAGTAAAAACGGAAACCATTGTATGTAAATCAGTTTATATACATTCATACTACAGTATTATATGTGTTGCGACCCACTTTTGTCAATTTCTAGGTCCCAAATGTTAGCGATTTAGCTCCTTTAATATTTACAGGGTTAATGATGATTTGATATCTAGAGTACGTATTTCTTTTATCATCGTGGTGAATTTTAACTTTCGTGATAATATTTTGTGTTTCAACCAGTTTTAACTGAATAGATCTTCTTTGAGCGGCATTTAACAACTGACACACGTAATAAACGTAACAATTAGATCTTGTAATAATGATACCTCCCTGTTTTTATATATTTATCTTTTAATAATGATAACTCCCCATATCTAGAGTATTTTTGTTATCTTTCTACTTATAATTTCAAAGTTTGTTGATAATATTTTGTGTTTAAACCTGTTTTAACTGAATAGATCTCGTAATAAGCTGTATTAAATATATCTTATATTTAGCATTTCTAACCTACATCTTTACATACTTGAAAAGTTTTTATGTAAGACCTATATACTTGAAACTCATATCAAAGTCGTATCGGGGGGGGGGGGGGGGCTGAATGGTTAGAGTGTGCATGTTGCATCATAAGGTCTGCCATTGAGTTATCTTGCAGGGTTTTGATTCCCCGGTTGTACGTGACAAGGAGTAGGGTTGCCTGTCCAACCTTGTAGGTTTTCTCCGGCTCCTCCGGTTTTCTCTTTCTGCTAAAGAGAAAGAGAAATGTGGTTTAACGTCCACTCGACACAAACTAGGTCATTTCGGGACTAACATATGGTTTTTAAATTTTATTTCAATAATTCGCTTGCGCGTAGGGGTCTTTAGCAGTGGGAGGAAACTGGAGGACCCGGAGAAAACCCACGAGATTGGACAGGCGACCCTACTCCTTGTCACGTACAACCGGGGATTTGAAACCACGCCAGTTGACTCAATGACAGGCTTTATGATACCGCACGCACGTGCTAACAATTCGGCCATCCAACCCCCCCGCCCCACTGCTAAAGACAGTAAAGACTCCTACGCGCAAGCGAATTATTGAAGTAAAATTTAACCATGTGTTAGTCACCAAATGACCTAGTTTGTGTCGAGTGGACAATAAACCCCATTTCTGTCTCTCTCTAAACCCCATTTCTCTCTCTCTAAGTTGTATGTAATTTCTCCATCTTATTTTGTTATAATGTTTTACTCTGTACTTCAAGAATAGTATAATTCTATAATGAACTATTAAATTACAAGTTATTACAAACAGATTAGGCAAAACAGGGCAGCGAAGTATTCTTGATGCACCAATTGAAACTCCATCCACCTCTTTTTTTTATACTCTCGGTTGGCTTCCACTTACACAGTGGATTCTTTATAATTTAACTGTCTTATCATTCAAAATAATAACATTTAATACTTCACTATATCTAAATTCAAGGACAGAGGGCCTGACAAGGATAGTTGTCTAGTCGTTTGGATGAGATGAAAATCCAAGGTCCCGTGCATACATTGGTGTGCACACAAAAGATCCCTTGGCAGTTGGAATTCGATATAAGAGTAGGCCATAGTGCTGCTTCTCGAGCAAAATTTCCCTCACAGCACACTGTTTAACGTCCTACTCCGAAAGGGCTAAAGAAATGTGGTTTAACGTCCTACTGTTCTACTCTGACTGGGATACTGAAATGGGGTTTAACGTCCTACTGTTCTGCTCCGACTGGGCTAACGAAGACTTCAGAAATGAACAGTTTCTTGAATAAGTCCACTAGTGTTTGATTTAAATGAGAAATATACGACTAATAGGAACGATTCTTTAAGAATCATATAAAAAAATTTGCATAAAACATACCTCTGTAGATCCTGTAAAAGCAACTTTATCAACATCTGGGTGTCTGGACAAGGCAGCACCAGCTGTAGGTCCGTAACCTGGTACAATATTTATAACACCAGGAGGAAAACCGGCCTGTAGTAAAAACAATTTTAGTATTTAATCTCAAGGAATATAACATAGCTATTTGATTATCAATTACTTAGTAAAATATATACCCACCCCTTCACCTATTAATCACTTTTTAATCCAATATTTCATTCAGAGAATATCAGCAAATGAAATGAGTAGTCCAGCTGAATGTCAGAAAAATGGAGCAGGGAAAGTCCAGCTTTCAATAGAATGTCAGAGCAATGGAGCGAGGCAAGTCCAGTTGAATAGCTTTCAATAGAATGTCAGAGCAATGGAGCGAGGAAAGTCCAGTTGAATAGCTTTCAACAGAATGTCAGAGCAATGGAGCGAGGAAAGTCCAGTTGAATAGCTTTCAATAGAATGTCAGAACAATGGAGCGAGGAAAGTCCAGTTGAATAGCTTTCAAAAGAATGTCAGAGCAATGGAGCGAGGAAAATACAGTTGAATAGCTTTCAATAGAATGTCAGAGCAATGGAGTAAGTCCAGTTGAATGTAGCTTTCATCAATAGAATGTCAGAGCAATGCGAAAGTCCAGTTGAATAGCTTTCAATAGAATGTCAGAGCAATGGAGTAAGTCCAGTCAAATGTAGCTTTCGATAGTATGTCAGAGCAAGTAAAGTCCAGACGAATGTAGCTTTCAACAGAATGTCAGAGCTCCATACTCTTTTACACTCGTAAATTACTGTGACTAATTTTGTTTAAAAAAACATATAGTTAAATATTCATAATGAACGACTAATTTTATCCTTAAATGACATTTAGAAGTAGAGGTATGCTATTCACAATAACACAACTTTATAGATTTACTACTTCTTGGTTTTACATGCAACGTTTCAATACTCTTACAGGTATCTTTATCTATATACATACAATGTTTCAATACTCTTACAGGTATCTTAAAAGCTGTGTTATTATGAACAACTAATTTAATAATAAAAATAAAATATATTGGGGCTTTTTCAGTGGCAGCATCCATCCAATGGAATAAACTCCTAGCAACATTAAAGGAAGCTAGAACTTTAAAGTCCTTTAAATCATCCTTGAAGACTCATTTGCTTAATTGTGAATACCAACGTGAATGTATGGCTCAGTGCCATCGAGTAGAACTGTTCTAGATGAGAGGCGTTATATAAATTCACATCATAATTATACATACCTCAGAGGCTAATTGTGCTACATGAAGAGCTGTTAATGGCGTCTGTTCGGCTGTTTTCATGACAACAGTATTTCCCATGGCAAGAGCTGGACCTAGTTTCCATGCTTGCATCAATAAAGGAAAGTTCCACTGAAAGTAAAAACAAAGAAATCAGACCATCTTTATTTCATTCACAAGCCATTTATGGCCCAAACAGTTTTATTTTACAACATGCTATCTGTTTAAAGTGATGTACAGCAAGGAGAGTGACAGAAATAGGATATAATGTCCACCCAATACATACTAGGTCATTACGGGACTAACATATGGTACAATTTTATTTCAATAATTAGCTAGTGCGTAGAGACGAAACTGCAGAATCTGGAGAAAACCCATGAGTTTAGGCAGGCAACACAGTTCTTCAACTTAATTACAAACCTAATGATCCAAAGACCACTTGTTAGACATCAACATCAAGATCAGATAGAGACAGAAATGGGGTTTAAGGTCCACTCGACACAAACTAGGTCATTTCGAGACTAACATATGGTTCAGGTGCCTAGTTGTCTTTATCAGTGGGAGGAAACTGGAGGACCCACGTCAAGATTACATATTCACCGTAGATTAGTTTATGGTACAAAGATTTATAGAAATTAATTGAGTTTACTTACAGGTATAATTTGTCCACAAACACCAACAGGTTCATGTCGAGTATACGTGAGATAATCTCCATCTGTTATAATATTCAATAATACATCAATATTATATACATCAGTATTATACAGTATTTACTAGAACTACTACTAATAATACATCAGTATTATACAGTGTTTACTACTAGTACTACTAATAATACATCAGTATTATACAGTGTTTACTAGAACTAGGCCTACTACTAATAATACATCAATATTATACAGTGTTTACTAAAACTACTAGGCCTACTACTAATAATACATCAGTATTATACAGTGTTTACTACTAGTACTACTAATAATACATCAGTATTATACAGTGTTTACTAGAACTAGGCCTACTACTAATAATACATCAGTATTATACAGTGTTTACTAGAACTACTACTAATAATACATCAATATTATTATACAGTGTTTACTACTAGTACTACTAATAATACATCAATATTATACAGTGTTTACTAGAACTACTAGGCCTACTACTAATATTAAAATCAGTATTATACAGTGTTTACTAGAACTACTAGGCCTACTACTAATTACATCAATATTATACAGTGTTTACTAGAACTACTAGGCCTACAACTAATATTAAAATCAGTATTATACAGTGTTTACTACTGCTAGGTCTACTACTAATTACATCAATATTATACAGTGTTTACTAGAACTACTAGGCCTACAACTAATATTAAAATCAGTATTATACAGTGTTTACTACTGCTAGGTCTACTACTAATTACATCAATATTATACAGTGTTTACTAGAACTACTAGGCCTACAACTAATATTAAAATCAGTATTATACAGTGTTTACTACTGCTAGGTCTACTACTAATTACATCAATATTATACAGTGTTTACTACTAGTACTACTAATTACATCAATATTATACAGTGTTTACTAGAACTACTAGGCCTACAACTAATATTAAAATCAGTATTATACAGTGTTTACTAGAACTACTAGGCCTACTACTAATAATATTAAAATCAGTATTATACTACTGCTAGGTCTACTACTAATAATATGTCGTACTATAAGACCAGCAACCCTGTTTCACGAAATTTTAACTAAAGATAAAATCCAAATTTTAGTAGATGCCTCAATTTTGATAGGCTAAGCACTAAAATCAATCTAATATTATCCAAAATTTAGATTTTATGTTAAAATTTCATGAAACAGGCGCAAGGATTCCTACTAATATTATACAGTATTAGACCGTGTTTACCACTACTACTACTAGGCCTAAAACTAATATGTCTTACTACAAGACCTACTAAATATATCTTCATACAGAGGTTCATTCATTATAAACATAATTGGTTTCTGCATCAATATAAGGCTGACCTTAAAAATATCTTTGTTTCACCAAACCCGACCCACAATCGAGGAGAAGGGTCGGTAGGTCGGGTTTTTTTCAGATTTTTTTTTTTAAGAGCTAATTTGACAGCTTGATAATTTTCCGGGTGCAAACATTCGTCTTCTTTTATTGGCAAACAAATCAATGACATCAGGATTTTTCTTGATGCATGACTCGCACACAAATTGCGACAAACTCACGTTTGAAACTCCCTCAACACGTTTTTAACGATCGTGCGGGTTGTGCCTTCATTTTTCTCGAAAACGGATATTGAAAATATCGTCGTAATGTTTAAAACGACGCCCCACAGACATAGAGGCAGAATCATTTCGTGGGAATGGACGTGCTTTCGTCTGCAACCATTTTGTTGAGAAGCGACACCTACGACGCTTTCGTCTTGATCAACCAGTTTCAATAATGAATCAAACCATAGCCATAGTAAAGGGAAATAACTCTCGTGATATATTTCAGGTTGACACACAAAATAAAATAAAATAAAAAGATCGCGGAAAAGTGCAATAAAATAATTTAAGTCGGGGGTGGTTTTAGTTAGTCGGTCGCGTTAGGCGAAACAAAGATATTTTTAAGGTCAGCCTAAGCTGAGCATCAGTAAATATATCTGACAGGTTAGTCATACTTCAGAGGGAGAGAGAGAAATGGTGGTTTAACCTCCACTCGACACAAACTAGATCATTTCAGGACTAACACATGGTTCAATTTTATTTCAATAATTTGCTTGCACGTAGAAGTCTTTAGCAGTGGGAGGAAACCGGAGGACCCAGGGAAAACCCATGAGGTTGAACAGGCAACCCTACTCCTTGTCACGTACAACTGGGGAATCAAACCCATTCCAGTTGACTCAATGACAATTTGGCCATCCAACCCCCTAGTCATACTTCAACCACGACTGTTATGATTATTCTATTCAGAGGAGGGGGCATGTCTCACAGTGGACTCTCGAATCCCAGCGATGTTCTGGGCTATTTGTGCAGACAGTCCCAAGACCATGACTATTATGATTAGTCTATTTAGAGGAGGGGGCATGTCTCACAGTAAACTCTCGAATCCCAGCGATGTTCTGGGCTGTTTGTGCAGAGTCCCAAGATCACACATTTATTAACAGAGGTGACAAAAAAATAACAGAAAATTGAAAACTTACCGATTGGAATAGTTTTTCCATGATTTTTATTTGCCCATCCAGCATAATATCTGTAAAATTCAACAGAAGATTATATACATACTGTGACACACCCCTTTTATAAATGGACACACACTCTTGAAGGATACCTGTCTTCACCCGGGGCCCAAATTTTATAAATAGATGATTATAAATTTGGTTTGAGAGATAAACGACATCTGATCACTAAAATAATATGTGAGAATGATGTTTTCACAGGATATTATATCAGTATGTTTGGTTATATAGGATGTTAACTGAGACTATTTAAATCTATATATTTGGCACTTTTTGTTTGTTTGTGTTTTAGAGGTTGGCATTAACACTAGGGCTGCCTCAAGGCTGAGATTCAGGGTTTCAGTGCAACTCAAGCTGTGGAGTACCATGGCCATGGTGGTGCTGCACTACCTGTTCCTGCTTTGGTGTCATAGTTAGGGCTGGCAATCGATCCGGTTTCAAGTATTGATTATCGCGGACCATCTGCCGATCAATAATATCGGCAAATTATTTTGACTTACAATTGGTTTTAAAACAACCATAATTTGTACACGAATAACGAATTATATGCGAGTTTATGTTGTGATAGCATTCCATAGCAAAACCAAGGTGTAGAAAGAAACTCGATCAACTTCGTTTGGAAGACAGAACCGCCACCGCTCGCCATATCTTTGTCGCTTATGACCTGAATAATAATTAGTTAAATGTAGTTATTTCCTCTTCAGACGTTTATTCGCAGATTCCTTGATAAACCAATAAAGGGAAAGTACATGTTTGAAAGAGAAGATGAAAGAAATGGAAAGTCAAAATAAGGTGCACAACTGAATGTTGCGTGAAACCATTGGCTCTCATCATGACATAAGCGGCCAACATTACTCACCGATGGCATCGCACGTGAAAAAACAAAACATGTTTGTTTTAGTATGAATATTCTGTCTAATTACAGTTCTAGGCATAAGCACGCATTATTTTTATAGACTTCTTCTTACAAGTGAAGTACCTATAATTGCACGATAATCGATATTTTAAAACTGTATTGATAATCGATTTTAAAACGCTTACCCACAATTATCGGCAATATCGATATTTTCTGCCAGCCCTAGTCATAGTACTTCCGGTTCCAGGCTTTAACATAGGCCTATGATTCCAATTATTCAATATGTAATCAGTCAGGAAATGTAGAGCATTTTGCAAGCATGATCTCAGAAAAAAACAATACTTGTCTTGACAGAAATTATCAGATTTTTTTGTGTAAACAATATTTTATTTCAGAAATTTATGAAAAGGGATCAGGGAACAGGCAAAGCCAAAATCACCCCTCTCCTCATACAAGGAATATAAAACAGATCTCCTATGTACATGTTATAAATTAATGGTGAAAATCATATGAATTAAATAATTTATATACATACTATTTAAAAGAAATGAAAAAAAGAGGAAGTGCTGTTTTATAACATGATAAAAGGGTTTCTATAAATAGAATCAGATATTGAAGCGTCTGGTAACATCGAAGTATTCATGAACTATTTTAAAGATGTTATTAGATTTAGTCTGATTTTCTATGCCAAAAAGAAGTGGTTTAATTGATTGCTGGTGTAAAAGAAGTATTGTATTACCGGATAGATATAATGAGTTGGCCAATGGTTTCTAAACTTTTCCCACTTTAAAGGAGCTAAATCGCTAATATCTGGCACCTACAAATTGACACAAATGGGTCGCAACTTATATAATAATGTAATATGAATGTATATAAACTGATCTACATTCAATCGTTTCCGTTTTTACTCTAATTTTAAAGCAGTTATGTTCGGCGAAATACGCCAGAAGTCTCAATCCAATGGCAATCTCTAGCGTCTGGTTATTCCAGTCTACACCAATAGTATTTACTGCGCATGTTCTCCAGATAAGAATATGAGGTCACCGTTTGACATGACTTGTGAAACGCATTATGGTACACGATTCGTGTACCAATCGTAAAATGTTTATTTTGTCTTAAATATTGGATATCAGAAAACCATCTTTTTTCGGTAAGATCACAAAACCAATGTTGATTAAAATTGACAAATAATTTGTGTTTTCATTGTCGAAGGTTTTGAATGATATTGAGTTAGAGACTTAGCTACTTTAAGACAACTTGGGACATTTACCATAATAATGGGGTGTTAAGACGTAAGCTTCTTGCCACCGTACTTTTCACCTAAATCTTTCATAAACCCCAACATGAGCCATCTTAATAGCCATAACAAGATCTTAGATAATCACCATATCAATGTGACTCCAATATCAACTACTCAAATTCATTGTATGAATATGAACATCTTTTTTTTCCATGTAAAACCCCCTTTTGACATAGCGCACCTCCTTAGTCAAAGTACAATAGACACTATATCTGTATTCAGGTCGAGTTTGACCTTTAACATTGAATTGGACCTTTCTAATAACCTTCAATATATTACAGCTGTTAAAATGACTATGTTGTCAAGACCTGGATTATCCTTAAAGGCTCAATACCACTCTTGTTGTAACTGAATAATATGTCCCAATCTTTATTCTAGTCAACAAATTGTACTATTTTACAATATTCCAATTAATTGATGATACAAATTTCATCTTAACACACCTAATTTAAAAAATTGGAAAAATTCAACTAAATGATTTGAAAAGCCTAACGTAAACCTTTTCAAATGTGACTTGGATTTAAATATATTTTCGAACCCTCTGGACAAGTAAAATAGGATGTAATGGATAATTTACACAACAGGTAGGACACTTAAACATCTAATACTTAAAATAAGGCTATTATTTATTTTCTGGAGCTGTCAAGCCAGTAAGAGTGTTATTGTCCCTTTAAGACCCAAACAAAAGAATCCATATCAGTAGTAAAAATAAAACCTAACACCTAGAAAGTTCACCTGGATATTTGTCAGTCTTGGAATTTCTTTTAAAAATGTATTTGTGTTCCACCCATAGCAATAAGAGAGAGAGAGAGAGAGAGAGAGAGTAGAGAGAGAGGAGAGTAGAGAGTAGAGAGAGAGAGAGTCATTTTGAGACTAACATATAGTTCAATTTTATTTCAGCCAATTTCAGGCCTAATTTCTACTTTTTGGGAATAAAGTGATTATTATATTTGTTTGTTTATTGTAACTTATTATTATTATCAGTATCTTTTTTTTTTATTATCTTGACAGTTTGTAAATTAGGACAAATAATTATACAACATATCCCATGGAGCCTTTAAATTGATAAGAAGGCCTACCTTATAATATTGAAAGGTAAGCAATTAATTATCTTTCTAGACAGTACAGTGTTTATCTGTACATAGATAACTAATATATATATATATATATATATATATATATATATATATATATATATTACACAGGTGAACATAATATACCTGTGTGACGACCTAACTTAATATAAGTACAGGTGTTTTCAACTCTTAATGTAACCACATCCAGATTATGAGGAGAGAAAGAGAGAGAGAGAAATGGGGTTTAACGCCCACTTGACACAAACTTGGTCATTTCGGGTCTAACACATGATTCAATTTTATTTCAATAATTTGCTTGCGCATAGGGGGTCTTCAGCAGTGGGAGAAAACCGGAAGACCTGGAGGAAATCCACGAGGTTGGACAGGCGACCCTACTCCTTGTCACGTATAACCGGGGAATCGAAACCATGCCAGTTGAATCATTGACAGACCATATCATACAGTGTGCACGTGCTAACACATGAATCAATTTTATTTCAATAATTCGCTTGCGCGTAGGGGTCTTTAGCAGTGGGAGGAAACCGGGGGACCCGGAGAAAACTAACAGATTTGGACAGGCGTTCCTACTCCTTGTAACGTATAACCGGGGAATCGAAACCATGCCAGTTGACTCATTGACAGACCATATCATACAGTGTGCACGTGCTAACCATTCAGCCATCCACCCCCCCGGATTACTGGTGCAACACACACTAGTGAACATTATATCCGAGTTAAAGTAGTTAAGTCTAACTCAATATCATCCAGTCTTCGACATTGAAAACCTGAATTATTTGTCAATTCAAATCAACATTGATGTTGTGATCTTCCTTGGAAAACATGGGCTTCTAATATCCAATATTTAAGACAAAATAGACATTTCACCTTTGGTGTCATTGACTCAATGACAGACCTTATGATACAGCGTGCACGAGCTAACCATTAAGCCAAAAGAAAGACCTGCAATCGGCAAATATAGCTCTTACATAATGCATCATCATTCAGCAGTTAGGTCGTCCTGACAGATGTAGTTTTTTTTAAGTAAACAGGTTATAGTATTTTTATCATCATAGTAACATAAGTATCATATTGACATAAGCTAGCTATTCAAACCTCAACAATTGAACAGTTGAAAACTGGATTAGGTCTGACTCAGTTGTTTTCTTGTGAACTGTTATCGTGATCACCCTTTTTTTGTTGTGTATTACATTAGAATTTCATTTTACAGATAAATGGTTATTACATAAAAAACCCTTTTTTTGTGAATTCTTAATTCATGATCTCTTATATATACATGTAATTACGTATATTGGTATTTAATGAAATATATATATTTATATATTAAACATGCAAGAGGTAAATCTGCCTATTGCAGGTCTTTCCTTAGGCCTGAAATGTTATCTAAATTATTAATTAGACATTAACTTATCCAGACCATAATTAACTCTCGATGGCATCGCTAGCCTGCGATATTTACTGGATTTGGATCCGACTTGCTGCTCAACGCTCATTGATGATTACATCATGAAATGGATGATTGAAACTATGTATTTTTTATCGTACAGACTTTAGTAATGATGATCAAGGCTAGGCCCAAAATTTAATCGCTAAATTCTCGGTTCTGAGTGGATCAATTTGACTGAAATCTTCAGTAAATTACCTTTACATTATCTAGACTTTAACTATTACAGTGAGAACTGCCAGTTCTTTATCTAATCTTCCATAATGTATCTTTAAAGTAGATAAAGTACAAGTATATAATATACATTATTCTTTCCTAATCTAACCCTTGATTCATGAGCCAATATTTCTGTTGTAGAGAGAAAGAAGAATAGGGTTAAATGTCCACTTGTCATTTCGGGACTAACACATTGTAAATTTTTGATTTAAATACTTCGCTTGCGCGTATGGGTCTTTTGCAATTTCGGTAAATAATTTCTGTTGTATCCGATAATTCACTGGCGATCATAGTGTGATAGATCATAGTGTTATAGCCAATGAAAGTCTTCAGGATAAATGAGATGAGAGGAGGTCATTTCGGGACTCACATTTGGTTCAATTTTATTTTAATAATTTAGCAGAGGGAGAAAACCAGAGGACTGGGATAAAACCCACGCGGTTGGACAGGCGGCCCCACACCTTGTCATGTACAACCGGGAAATTGAAACCACGCCAGTTGACTCACTGATAGACCTTATGATACAGCTGGCACAGGCTAACCATTCGGCCATCCAACCCCCCACAGGACAAATGACCAGCGTAATATTGTCACACGTCCATTAGTAGGGTTTGTTGAATGTAGACATGATCAAATTGAGATGGTTAAAAAAAATAAATAGGATTAGGAATGATGACAATTTGAATCTCAGTCTGTCTCAAAAATTTATCAAAACAGAAATGTTTACCTGTAGCACTTGACAACCAGTCCCAAATCAGCAGCAATAGCTATATTATATGGTTTACCATTATCCAGTGTTTCCAAAGACTACAGCAAAACAAAGAAAAGAAAGAATGTAACATCTACTCAACATAAATTACGTCATTTTGAGACTACAGTATTTTATTCTTATTTCAATAAATTGTTTGAGTGTAGGATTTTTTTTTAATGGTGGAAGGGAAACCATGCTAGAACCTGGAAATGAAATGAAATGAAATGGGGTTTAACATCCTACTGTTCTGCTCCAACTGGGCTAACGATGACGGGTTAGAACCTGGAGGAGACCCACTACTTGTCATGAACATGCTTGGAATCAAAACCACGCCACTTGACTCAATGACACCTTATGATCCAACGTGCACGGTGCACACATTAACCATTTGTACTTGTCATGTTAATAAATGTTTAAATAATAATGACACAAACTAGGTCATTTCGGGACTAACATTACATATGGTTCAATTTTATTTCGATAATTCGTTTGCAGGAAACTGGAGGACCTGGAGAAAACCCATGAGGTTGGACAGGCGACGCTACTATTGTCACATGCAACCAGGAAATCGAAACTACGCCAGTTGACTCAACGACAGGCCTTATGACACAGCGCGCACATGCTAACCTTTCAGCCATTCAACCCCCCTCAACAGTAGACAATCTCCTGGTTTGGGTTAGATTGGATTAAAAAGAAGTCCATCCACCGAGTTTAACAAACACTACTGACTTGTTTATATGGTTTCGAAATTTCAAATTCATCATATCTTTATACTAAACTAAATGGAATTAAATCATTTTTTGACTGATTTTAGAGATTCAAATTTCAAAATATTTTAGTTTGAAAGGGATTTGATTTAAAATCCTTCAAAAGGCAATATAGAAATTTTAATATATTTTTGAGAAAATTCTTACGGCTAGAATCTGTCTATCTCGTTCAATCAGATCAGCTAATCTGTACAGGAGTAGACCTCTCTCTGACGCATCCATAGTTCTCCATGGTGACCCAAGTTGAAAGGCATTTTGAGCTGCACGGACAGCTTTATCAATATCTGCCTGCAATGAAAATAATTATAAAGATAGGTTGCCAGGCAACAAAACATACGCACCCACAGCAGCTTAATCGTCCGAGCAGTCGACAAGGGTTGTCGCATATTTATTCTTTTGTAGGTAATTAGGGGATTTTAATAGACAATTTCATACAGATGACATAATTTTCGTCGTTTGAGGGTTCACAAGATTCTAAAAACTAAAACAAGGGCCGTAACTCTGGAAGTAATCTACAGAAATTGTTGAAATTCGACAGGCTTTTTCGTTCTACTAACTCAAATAATGCATATTTGACGGGGGCGACGGCAATATACGACCACATTTCCATGTGGGTGTATAAAAACTAGTTTCGTTATAAGATTATTGCTGGCTTGCAATTAATATATCGGCAACCATTGAAATTGTACATTACATTTTTAAAAATTGTTCCTGAAAATTTCAAAATCTGTGCCTGACAATGTCTGTGGCAGGCACCTTATTTCAAGGCTTAAAAGACATAAAGATATCTGGTATTATTGCCCTTGGATCATAACCGATTTAAGCACATTGAACATGCTGCCATTGATTTTAAAACACGTAATTGGGCACTGTAAACATTTTTTTACCGATTTAAACATGCCCAACATGCTGCCCTTGATTTGTAAACGTGAAATTGGGCATTGTAAAGGTTTCTTTTTTTAACCCTTGTGGGTTCACGTTATGAGAATCACATAGCAGGTATCAGGGGTCCATATGGACCCCAGTTATAATTCAAAGTTTTTACGTACAGATATATTTGAATTAAAAGGCAGCGGTTAAGTTTTTATTTGCCTTCATATTTGACAACTGAAAAACAACTAAATTATTTTACAAAAACATTTTAGTGACATTTGGAAAAGATTTAATAATTCTCACAAAATTGCTACTTTGTGTACTATGTGATAAAGAGGTTAAAATGGCAATTCACGCTTGATACAAAAACCATTGAATATCTTGAATTCATCATTTAATTTTTGGTATTTGTAACATGCAGCTGCTAAAAGAAAGAATACTCTGGCATACGCAATATGGTATTAGGCAGCAAATACATTAGCAAAATCCCTACGTTGAGATGTTTAAGTTAGGGGTCCGAATGGACCCCTTGTTATCTTCAAGCGTTGGGCCTGATTTGCATGTAACAGAACTCTGCATGTGGGAAGCAGATGAATACCGAGTTCTTCACTACGTGTAAAAATGTATAGGAGACAAAGTCACTAAATTTCAAAAAGCAGTGCCCAGTAGTTATTACACAACACTATAAAACATGTGCATGGGGTCCACAGAGACCGAACGTGCACCGACAAGGGTTAATGATTTAAGCAAACACCAATATGCTGCCATTGATTTGTAAACACTTAAAATTGGGGCACTGTAAACTTTCTTTTTTACCGATTTTGATTACACTCTGCTCACCTTGTCTCCCTCTGCTACTTCACAGATTGCCTCCCCTGTTGTCGGGTTGATGGTTTGAAACGTCTTACCGCTTTCAGCATTAACAAACTCATTATTTATAAATATCTGTAATATAATCATATGGTACTGAGTAAATAAGTTAATAACTGTAACCAGAAATGCTACTGAGTCACTACTGAGTACTAAATAACCATAAACTTTTACCAGAAAATGATACTGAGTCACTACTGAGTAAATAACCATAAAAACTGTAACCAGAAATAAAATGGTGTTTAACGTCCTACTGTTCTGCTCCAACTGGGCTAAAATATGCCATACAGTGTGCTATGAGGGAAATTTTGCCCGGACAGCAGCGCTTTTGATTACTCTTATATCGAATTACAACTGGGTTAAAATAGTAAAAAAGACAGGCATATGCCATACAGTGTGCAATGAGGGAAATTTTGCCAGGACAGCAGCACTATGGCCTACTCTTATATCAAATTCCAACTGCCAAGGGATCTTTTATGTGCATGCTAATGTGTACACTGGGCCTCAGTTTTCCACCCCATCCAAATGACTAGATAGGCCTTCCCTCTCGCACTACTGACAAGGGGAAAACCCTGCTGGAAAATCCTGATGAACTTTCTCGTCAACACCAGGAGTGAACCTCTGCGACCTCCAGGCCATCATGCCAGCGTCTTACTCACTGTGGCTCCAAAAAACTGTAACCAGATTGTGAATGCCACTGCAGTGAAATTGGGTATAACATCCTATTTTTCGTCACTAACCGGGTTAATTCAGTCATGTATATACCATCAGCAGCGGATCCAGGAATTTTTGCAGGAGGTGGTTTGCCAGGTTCTTGAAAAATGTATCGTCTCTATTATCATTTTGCCACTAGTGAATATACATATTCAACAAACAGCGATGAATATCTACTACTGTCAGACTAATAAAGATTATACATGCACCTATTCAAGGCAGACCCTAATACATGTAATACCTGGGGTTTTAATGGGATATGCACAGGTGAACATCAACTATACATTTTATCTCCTCTTCATAGATTAAATTATCCACCGCAATTTCAGACTAACAATACACTTTCATTTCTAACAATTTTAACGGTCTAGTAATTCATGGAACGCATATAGTATAGAATAGATATTTGTTCATCAGTAACCACATCAACTTTACAATGTGACACTTGATTGACCTTTCTACACCAACTGGTGTCAATTGGATACATGCAGTGAGCTATGAGGGAAATTATATCTTGACAGCAGCGCTACGACCTATTCTTATTTTGAATTACAACTGCCAAGGGTTCTTTTACGTCCCAGCTAACGTGTACACTGGACTTGTGTTTTACATCCTGTCCGAATGACTAGATACCATATAAATAGGACTACTGCTGTATGAAAGTCTCCTATACTGGGCTAATGATGACGGGCATACGCCATGCAGTGTGCTATCAGTGTAATTTTGCTTGATTAGCAATGTTACGGACACACATTGTTGCATTGTTACAGTGGCGCAGTGAGTAAGGAGGTCTGTGATTCAATTCCGGTTTTTGTCAAAAAGATCACTCAGGGCTAATAAATGGGACAATAAATCAAAATCCTGTAGCTATACTGTTGAGTGCACATAAAAAAAAACACTGATAGCTGGAATTCAGCAAACACAGGCCGCAAAAACGCAGCTGTCCAGGCAAAAGTTCTCTCACAGTCATGTCGTACAGTACGCTACATGGCACATGCCAGTCTGCTAAGTATGTCTGGTGCATGCAAATTTTCTTTAGATTTGCATGGCAGTTGTGACACAACATTTTTTCTTGCACGCAGACTTCTTTTTGTTGTGGATACGCATTATTAGCTAGTCTTATTGGTAAATTAAAATTCATTTTCAATTAATACATTTATGTGACATATAAGCATATTCAAATTAGATTATAATATTTCCAATTCAAATGCAACAAAATATGAGACTGATTTGCCAAGTCATCGCCTATTTAGTACAAATAATAACATCATCATATTATTTTCTTCGTGCTTGTTTTTCTAACTACGGTACCAGTTCTTAAAAAAGTTTGAGTCTGACCTGAGCATATTTAACATCTGGTTTCAAAATAGGTGATGGCAATGATGACATACAACCTTTCTGCTGGTGTAATAAACTCCATAATGAAGATTTTCTCGAGGATAAAATTCGTCTAACAAGAGCCATGTTTACAGTTCAGCCACAAACAAACAGCTGCACTCGTAACAGCTAGCTATGTACCAAGGTCGATATTCTATAAATAGCCCTCACGTGGCGGCATGCCGTATTGCCCGCCTTTTTACTCACTTATATCGCCACTCGACAAACCTCGGTGGATTCCGCTACTCTAAGCAAACGTTGGCAGATTCCGTTACTCTACATCTATCCTCGGCTGTATGACGATAAGTGGTCTGTACCTACAATAGCTCCGGCACCGGTTTATCTATTAGGAAAACTTGCCGCTTTTAAAAAAGAAGTTATCAAAATTGCGTCGTTCGAAGCGTGTGTAGAATTTTCAGTACAAATTTGAAAGAAAAACAGCTTCAGCTGCAGTGCCGGACTGGGCCCACCTGTCCACGGTCCACCTGTCCGTGACAGGTGGGCCTAAGCTCATTAAAAAAAGTGGGCCTTAGCCTATAAAGAAAAAAGAGAAAAGAGAATGAAAAAAGAAAAAAAAACAAAAGAGAAAAAAAAAGGAGAATAAAGGGGTTTTTTTTGACACTGAAGAGAATTCTCAAATTCATCTAATGATAGTGCTCTTAGGTCATTCTGTTATCTAATTGTATTGGGAAATCAAAAATTTGCCTTCTTCTGCTTTGGTCTGAAATGCTTTGGAAAATGGGTTTGCGGTTGTCAATTTTCAAAATTTTCATGGGGGGAGATCCCCCTCGGACGCTCGAGTGCCTTCATCGCGCTCGTGACGCGACGAAGGCGCGTACTTGTGTGGGCCTTGGTCAATGACCTGACAGGTGGGCCTTCGGCCCACCAGTCCGGCATTGCTTTGAAATATTTGTAAGATAAAACATTCTTCAAAGGCGTCGTCATGGGCAACGCCGTTGGTAATCGGGAAACTTGAATATAGTTCAAATGGCGGACTTCTTCATCTTTAGACGTCATTGCTCCGGACTTACTCGACCAGGATCCTCGAGTACGTTACGACATGCGCGCATGCGCAGCGAGAACGGGTAATCCAACGGCGCGGCGCTTTCTTTAGGTATCAAAATGGAAGATAAACGCCGCCAAACAATTATGCCCGGTGTCCAGACGAGCAGAAAATAATCCACCAACAAACTTTAATTAAAACTGACTTTTTCATTGACATCTTATTGGAATTATTAAATCCGGAGAAGCGAAATAAAGCCCCAAGGACAGAATATAATGTTGAACATACAGTCCGGCTCTACAATCCTTAGAAGACTTTAAATTATACTTTCGTTTAACCAATGTGACGTATTTGTTAACGAGCTCAATGGCTTACCAGAATTGCAGTTAGGAAGGCAAGATGGTCGCATGCCAGTTACAATCTCAAAACAAGCAGTGGGGTTTCTGTGGAATACTGCTATATCCATTTCGCCCACTATCCGATAGATTTGAAATATCTAAATCAACAACGCACGACTGTACACGCCACAGAGTTTCTAAAGAAAACAACTATTCAATGGCTATTACCCCATGGACGTCAAGAAATTTATGATTGTTTTGTTAAATAATGTAAATTTCCCGGAACAATCGAAGCTATCAGTGGCTGTCATATCCGAATTAAAACGCCCAAGATGAAGGACAATCAAACATATTGCATACATCAACCGCAAAAATTTCACTCGGTCGTACTCCTGTTTATATGATCATCGAATTCTATTTAATCATGTTAAAACTGGTTGCTCTACCGGCGCTAGGGTTTTGAGGAATTCTTCTATTTTCCTCCAACCAGATACCAAATTTCAGGAGGGAGAATTCCTACTTGGGGTCCCAGCCTTCCCTCTTCCGCCATGGTTTATGACTCCACACAATGATTTTGGGAAATTCTATTTTGCCCTTGAAGTTTGGTATCTAATGATAGTGCTCTTAGGTCATTCTGTTATCTAATTGTATTGGGAAATCAAAAATTTGCCTTCTTCTGCTTTGGTCTGAAATGCTTTGGAAAATGGGTTTGCGGTTGTCAATTTTCAAAATTTTCATGGGGGGAGATCCCCCTCGGACGCTCGAGTGCCTTCATCGCGCTCGTGACGCGACGAAGGCGCGTACTTGTGTGGGCCTTGGTCAATGACCTGACAGGTGGGCCTTCGGCCCACCAGTCCGGCATTGCTTTGAAATATTTGTAAGATAAAACATTCTTCAAAGGCGTCGTCATGGGCAACGCCGTTGGTAATCGGGAAACTTGAATATAGTTCAAATGGCGGACTTCTTCATCTTTAGACGTCATTGCTCCGGACTTACTCGACCAGGATCCTCGAGTACGTTACGACATGCGCGCATGCGCAGCGAGAACGGGTAATCCAACGGCGCGGCGCTTTCTTTAGGTATCAAAATGGAAGATAAACGCCGCCAAACAATTATGCCCGGTGTCCAGACGAGCAGAAAATAATCCACCAACAAACTTTAATTAAAACTGACTTTTTCATTGACATCTTATTGGAATTATTAAATCCGGAGAAGCGAAATAAAGCCCCAAGGACAGAATATAATGTTGAACATACAGTCCGGCTCTACAATCCTTAGAAGACTTTAAATTATACTTTCGTTTAACCAATGTGACGTATTTGTTAACGAGCTCAATGGCTTACCAGAATTGCAGTTAGGAAGGCAAGATGGTCGCATGCCAGTTACAATCTCAAAACAAGCAGTGGGGTTTCTGTGGAATACTGCTATATCCATTTCGCCCACTATCCGATAGATTTGAAATATCTAAATCAACAACGCACGACTGTACACGCCACAGAGTTTCTAAAGAAAACAACTATTCAATGGCTATTACCCCATGGACGTCAAGAAATTTATGATTGTTTTGTTAAATAATGTAAATTTCCCGGAACAATCGAAGCTATCAGTGGCTGTCATATCCGAATTAAAACGCCCAAGATGAAGGACAATCAAACATATTGCATACATCAACCGCAAAAATTTCACTCGGTCGTACTCCTGTTTATATGATCATCGAATTCTATTTAATCATGTTAAAACTGGTTGCTCTACCGGCGCTAGGGTTTTGAGGAATTCTTCTATTTTCCTCCAACCAGATACCAAATTTCAGGAGGGAGAATTCCTACTTGGGGTCCCAGCCTTCCCTCTTCCGCCATGGTTTATGACTCCACACAATGATTTTGGGAAATTCTATTTTGCCCTTGAAGTTTGGTAGTGTGGTGGCGTTTGGTGATGGTGCAGTGGAGATCAATTGGTTGTAGCTGGTGATGTTTTGGCAGGCAATCGGATTTTCTTGTCGGAGTCGGGAAGAAGTGGGGATCTGTGTGGTGAAGAGCTTGGTTGTTGGGAAAGCTGCTCTGGTCACCTTGAGTAGATCTAGCATCTGCTCGTGTATCCTTGGTTAACTTTCCTCCCTGTTGTTGAGCCCGACATGTGTCATTAATTCCTCTGGTGCAGGTCCCAGGTAGTTCTGGAGGATCTGTTTGATGTGGCTGATCTTGGCTCCGGAATAGCTATGGATCTCCCAGTCCCCGAGGAAGGATGCAATCCTAGCCAGGTTAGAGGATCCAATAACCAGGGTCTTTGCCATGACGGGTGGTAGGAACCATAAATCCTTCTCGTCTTTATCTTTGTAGCCGTGAGGTCTCTTTAGGGATAGGTTGAGTGATCGCCTACATCTGGTGGAAGATCTGGTGGTGATTCTAGGGATAGGAATGATGGGCGATCTAGGGGACAGACAGTTGACAAGTGCGTTCAGTGTCGATATAGATCCGGAGGAAGTAGGTGAGCCAGACACACCGGGGCGAACGGGTTGGCCTAGCAGCACGCTTTGAGGAAGTGATAATGCATATCCTTCTCTTGTTGGGTGTGTTTTGTTTTGGTGTGTCCCTTAGACGGTTGTGTGTCATGTGCATTGAGGATGGCGGAGGGTGTGTGACAGTTTTAGAGACCGTGGATAGGAGGCGATGGAGCTCTGTCTTCACAGTATCCTGAAGTCGCTTGCCATAGGACTTCTTGACCCATGCTTGGGCATGGCTAGAGTACTCTTGTATAGCATCCATGGTAAACTGACGTGACTTCAAGTACAGGTACTCCAGTTTCTCCGCTAGCAGCGCTCGGTAGTGTGTTGACAAGGATGAGGCGACGTCTTGGCCCATTTCAAGTTCAATGTCTCAATGGTAGTGGCTATGGTAGGCGTCTTCATGGCCGGCTTCGCGAACTTGGATCTTCCAAGTGATACTTCTGGTGGGTGTTTCATTCTCTTGACTCTCCATAATGTCAAATGGTGGAGGCATTGGAGGACCTAGAAGAAGACCTTCACAACACCTGCATTCTCTGGAGGTGGTTGGCGCTAGTTTGGTTACCCAATGGCACCCAGTAACTATGGCTAAATCTATTTGTTACGGCCAGCTCAATTTTTGTCAAGGTCGCTGAGATGTAAATAAGGTTAGGGCACGTGATTGTAGGTTATGGTTATGGTAAACATTGGGGCTAGGCCCAGGGTTAGGGTTGGGATTAGCGCTAGGCCTGTTTACATCTCGTGACCTATGACGAAAAATTCAGTTGAGCTTATCATTTAGCACCGAGCGGAATCCATTCTTGTCCCATGCCATCTCAATAACTTTTTGATTTTTTTCAATGTGATGAAGTTTGTTAGTGCCTGTTAGATCCCACGACCGTTGCTGACGGCAATAAAAGAAACGGGTTATTGATGAATCCTTATATGGTATTGAACACGGTGATAAGGGGAGATCTAAAGTAGCTTTGGCAGCAAAATGTGCTTGATCATTCTCCCTTATATCATCGTGACTTGGGAGCCAGCAAAAGACAACGCCTTTGCTGTTAAACCCGTAAGATAATAGCAGACGGTGAACAACTGCTACTAACGGGTGTTCAAGTCGTTTATTTTTAATTGCTTGGAGCGAGGACGAAGAATCAGTAAAGATGATGTGCTGTAGTTAATGTGATGATTAAATGAACTTCAATGCAGGAAGAAGGGCATGGAGCTCAGTTGTAAATGTTGAAGCAGCTAGTGGAAGACGCACAGAAATGGTCTCAAATGGCGTCACGGTAGCCGAAGCTACCCAAT